GTTTTATGGGCCATCTTTAGCTTTTAAAATTATGAGTCCGGACTTCCGAAATCTGTGTTGTGAAGCAAACAATGATGAAAAACCCACTTGTTCTTTCAAAGAGACCCCACTGCTGGCTTCCTGTTGAAATGGTAAACTATCCAAAACCCAAGAGTAGTGCGAGGATTCTTTTGGTGTGATGCTTTCCTTTTGCCTTGGCCTCCTGATGTGTACTGGAAGGTACATTTTCACTTGATAATCTTTATTTGAAAATATGATATATTTGTTTATATGATCATCTTAAACCATTGACAGAACAGAGTACAGAGTAATAGTGTATTGCATTATGTTTGTTAGTGTATTGTCAATTATGATTGTTTTTAGAATATGTTGATTACTACAATGTCCTATCCTAGTTTCTCTGCATATCTCCCCACTCTAGCTCCTCATTCTCTCTTCTCACATAAAGTCATTGTTGTAGTATTGGATTGCGCTGCCTCAAGGCCACTTCTGGTCAATTCTAGTTGCCTCTTGTGGTTTTGTTTACAGTAGGTGCCTTGAATGTTTACTTTTTCGCACATATTTCACACAAGATTCTGCAAAAGACGAATGATAATCGTGTTTTTACAGAGAGTTGGGAACAACTTGTTTTTGTACATCAAACAACAATCATTATTTAGTTCTCCTTTGGGCAAACAGCAGAAAAAGCAGTTTCTTACAGTGATCAGTGTACAAGTCGACCAACTCTCAGGCAAACCCTGCTCAGACCAGTGCAGTTGTGTGACTATGGATCATACCACAGATATTGATACCAGTAGCCGCTTGTAATTCTATTGGCTCCCGGTATTGGGACCATGTTGATCAGCTCACAGCTCAGTATGACGAAATGTGGAGGCGGGGGTCATGCAGGATCAGATCAAAACTTACAACTTTATGTTATTTATTACACACAGATTTCAGACATCAAAATGTTACTTTTCACATTGATTGTAAATGCTGTGATTTTGTCCTCACCCTAAGCATGCTAACAAATTTATCTTGCAATGATTATTTTCACGGTATTCCAAGCTCTATAAAATAATGTCTAAGGTATTGGTACTCATTCTGGACAAGTACACAAACTAAAATGCTCATTTATACATTGTGGTTACATTAGTCTTTCTAAAGCCCCTCACCCGATTATGAGCGCATCATGACTCAAGTCTGAATCATGTGATGTTTACTGTAGTGGGGCATTCTTACTAATTTGTGCAATGGGGAGTCAGAATTAGTGAATAAACAGTTTCATATGTGCACGTGTTAGATATATGTCCAAACTAGAGCTTTAGAGGTAGATAAATGAGAGCCGTCCTGAGTCAGACCTGTTCGGACCATTCCTCCACGCTGCCTCACTCACTTCCAGTAACATACCCCCTCCTCACCGCACACCCTCTAATGACTTGGCAACATTTGGACCATATGTGTTCAGTTTTAACTACACGCAAGATGTTGTACTAATGTGTACCGCTGTTAAAATGTATTGTGGCAGGTTTATTGAGCTAACATGAGAGCTGTTTAGAGTCTGGGAGAAAACATATGTACTATATTTTGTAAGGTATTTTTACTAGACCAAATCTTGAACAACTCTAATGGAGTAGTAATTGCACTCGTAGATGCAGATTAGTAGTTTTGGTAGTTTCACAGCACTAGTTTTTCCGGATATTTTATTGTTTACCAGTTTCGGTTGGTTGCTGTTATTAATCGTAATATAAAACGCACTATGTTACTAGGTTTTACTTTTCTTGAGTATACTTGTCGCATCATAACTCCATCCCTTTTGCTGGTAGATAGAAAGCACATACACCATTGCTGTGCTAAGTGTTACAGTGCCCCCTAGAGGATGAAGTAGACCCATATAAGGCAGATGTCCAAGCAAATCCCCTGCCCCCTTCTTTCAGAGTTCAACTGTTACTCATCAAGACTGCTTATGGGGCCTGTCTCACACCCCTCACCCAGTGGCCAGTGCGGGACCCCAGCGTCTGCCTCTGACCGAATGGCCTGAGGAGGGTGTCAGGGGAGCAGTGAGGGCCAAAAGTCAAATTGGAACCATATTTCATCCACACTCTATCTCTTTAGAAAACACACAGATGTACGAGACACATTGGTAAATATATACACATAAACTGAACACATATGGCCCGGAACACTCACACTATCGGTATGTCAGCTATGTTGACCATGTTGAATTGTTGTTGTAGGTAGTTTGCTCAAAATTTACAAGAAATGTTTTCAAGGATTTACTGGACAACACTATTTTTTTACTGGAAATTTATGATTTTATATTCTAAAAGTGTATAATTCCGCAGTAGCTTTAGTCAGTTACAGTATCATCCAGTGTGGGGAAGTCCGTACAGTAGTTGCAAACTGTTCAGTTTTCTGTACAAAAATATAATCTTTTTAGTCACTCACATGCTTCTTAGTTGTTGTGAAGCTTCTACAATTCACTTTATAAGAACTCTGATGAGCGTTTTGTAAATGTTTCCGCACTTCATGTCATTTTACACAATCTGAGTGATTTTATCTATGCCAAATCTGACTAAAAATCTCCATTATGAGATCAATAAAGTTCATCTTATCTGATCTCATGGTTTGTGTGATCTAAGTACAGATTTTGTCGTCATTTCACCATTTTAAAATCAGGTACCCCAGCGTTTTAGCTTATTTAATGTAATCGGAATACAGAGCAAGTGCAACAAAGACATCTAAGACCAATAAAATGTGTTCATAGCCTTCCCAGTTCTTTTTGTTTTTGGCCTTGTTCTGTGCTTTGTGTCTGGCTGCAAGGGAAGATGGCGGGCGGGTGGGCGTCCCTGTGCGAGGCCCTCTCTTCCCTGTCCAGTGCGGGCCGAGGTCTGGAACACATTACATCTGATATTAAACACATGGCAGCAGTTAGAACAGAGAAAAGGCGAGAGAAGAAAAAAAGCTTTTCTAAAAAAGTAAAGAAAACAGTGGAGTGGATTTGTCAGCCAGCCTTCTTTGCCTTGTGTTCCCTGATTTTAACCCTGATTCGGCTTTTGTGTCTCCGCGTCTTTGGTTTCGAGGTCGATTCTGAACTCGTACATCAACAGGGTTAGCTTTTTATGTAGAAAAGAAATTTGAGAAGCGAATCCACACAAAAAGTATAAATGTAACGGTACATATTTCTGTTCAAAGACAGGGTATCATTCCTCTTAGTAGCTGCAGAAATAAAAGTAGTTGGTACTATTGTTGTGATATAGTGTTCTCGCTCTGTTTGTCTTATGCTGCTTTCCTCTACTCTAGTTTTCATTACACATTACAATCTGGTATTGTATCTTAGCTACCTACCCACAACAAACCAGTATCCTGAGAATTGACTCACAAATGTTGGTATTTTGTCTTCAGGCAGAGACATATTCAACCTTTCTGCTTGTTCTTTCTATGAATGTGTGAATGTATGTTCTTTTGAATTTGGATTCACAGTTACTTTGATTAAAGTTAGGGTTTGAACCAAGGCCAAGCAGTAGCCAACTGAAATATTTGCTGGTTCCAATTAAACAGCACTATTGGAAACACTCCAAATCAGGGTATATGGATATCTTGTGGTACGCATGGGTATTGCAGGGAGTACATAAAATAATTTTCATGTATTAGTATCAACTTGGCAATACATCGTGCATGCAAAGCCAGATCCTGTTAGACCTCTGAAACTGTACGTGGTTAGTACTGTGATGGGAGACCTTCTGGGAATACCAGACACTCAGGATATTAATTAAACTGATAAACCCTCTTATTTATGTATGTATTTTACAGAAACATTTAAAACTTAAGTTAAATGACATCAATGAGACTGTGCAAAGCTGCTATTGCTAGTAACAAAGCCCATATAACTATAACAAATGTTTATGCTGCAATTTTATTATTAACTAACACACAGTATGTTTGACTTTTATGTTGAAATTGCGCACACTTGCCCCTTTACATGGAAAACCCAAATGTTGCTTGATTTGAGAAACACCTTTACTTTCTCACATGTTAAAACTTTGAGGTTTTTCCTTTTTTGAGATGTGAATCCGTGTGATTCATAAAGCAGCAGTAATGAGACGAGGGACTGAGCCGGCACACAGATGGTATCAGGACCACTGCAGGTCTCTAGGCTCTTGCTCTGATCACTCCAGAGGAATGTTGGCATTGTTTTAGATGGACTTAGAACGTATCAGAAGCTTCTGGCACTTTGTCCTTTTTCCTGTGAGGATCCCATCAGGGAGGCACCTTCCCCTGTCTAAAAGGCTTTTCATTCAGCTTTAAATCACAAAAAAACAGATGCCCTTTCTCACATAAATCTCCTCTTTTATCTAAGCTTGGATGAGACACAAAACGCACTTCTGACTGATACTGGATTTATTAAACAACTCAAAGTGCTATAAAGTTATCCCCGGGTTGTCTTGTAGTTTTATTACTGCAAATGATAAGTCTTTATTAAAACTAGAACTATAATAAATTGTATGTACTTGTAACTTAGTCCCTATCTATCAAAACTGTTCTATTAGAGGGAAAAAAGGAGAGGATGTGAAATCTGTCGTATCTTTAGATCCGCTTTTTAATTGAAAAAGAGTTCTAGCCCTCACGCAGCTTTCAGTATGAAAAAAAAAAGTCTAATAAGATAAAGACTGCCTGTTGTAGTCTGATTTGTTCACAAAATGTGTCAAGACTCTTTATGTTGGCACAAACTGTGTATTTATGAAACAAATACAGGTTTTAAGGTCACAAAAATGAACTCACTTGTATGTGTATTGTTTGTAGCTCATTAGGAGGTCTAGCTAATCGTTGCTAATTTCTAAATGTGTCTATCCCATTTAGGAGATGGTTAACTCACCCTGACACTGCAGACAAGCTCTCAATCACTTTTGTGGGTCAACTGCAACAAACTACAAACACAGCACGTTGTTTTAATGGTCTGTGCTCTTCTTAAGTCTTGTTTTTCCGCCGTGACTAATACACTTCATTCTTCTACCTATCAGGTCATCGGCAGCGAGGTCATTGTGGGAGGCCATGTTGACCAGCAAGCAGAAGGAAGCAGTGCTGGAGGTACGGAGACAGCTCGTGGAAGCAGCCAGCAAAGAGAAGCTCCCCATCAAAATGACCATGGGTAAGAAATTTGAAGAGTCCTCAGAAGAGAATCGATATTAAGCCAATTTATAAGGATGATAAAAAAAATGTTGTACTAGTTTAAAGCAGTGGTCTCCAACCTTTTTACCCCGTATATCCCCTCGTCCCTAAAGGGGAGTCACAATAAACCGTTGTAGGCGGTAAACAGTTGTTTTAAGGCTGTAAATCCCCTCACCACAGACTTTTTACTGAAACCCAATTCATAGAGTCACATCCTGGTGCCTGTGTGCCATGAAGTCCGCAGACTGGCTCAGCTCAGGTCAATGATGGCCGCTGCTGTTGCCAGATATTCAGGTCTAAATCAAGAACTCCAATATCAACAACTGTTCCCATTTCACCACTAATAAACAAACAATATAGCAATTTATGCTATATTTCATCAATTGGATGCATACTAGACATGCCACTTTTGAAAAGGGTGTAATAAATATCAATAAAATATATTTATTGATGAGAAAAAACCAATGAAAAAAACCCTGACAATTCTGTGACAGCCCTATTACGTACCCCAGTGGTGTCAAACTCATCTTAGTTTTCGGCTACATTCAAAACAAAATAGCCCTAATGGTCTCCAAGTTATTGGTTTTTGCATCTGGTCATTTTAATTGTTATTTATAGTATGTAGGTATTCGGATGATTGCTTTATATTCAAATTGAGTTTGTGAATTTTCTGAAAAATACCTCACATTTTGCAGTTACAAACACAGATACTTGCTTTGAACCAAAACCAAAATGGGACCAAAAGCTTGTAATTGCAGACTGATAGATCAAGTATTATTATTTATTCTAATTTCTCTTGAGGGAAGTAAGTTTACCATGATGTATAACATGTACATTTGTGTGGAACAACATTACAAAATGAATACCTGCTGCTCTTCCATCTTTGTTCCAGCCCGTTGTATTAATGTGAGCTTGACATGATGTTAAAAACGCATAGTTACTTGAAAAATGATACCGGCCTAGTTTAACTAAACCCAGAACATTTGAGAGGAAATTAACTTTTTGGGGAAAATAAACCCATTTGCAAAATATTTACCCAAGGCCAAAATTATAAAAATGCTTTCCTCAGCTAACTTGCAAAATGAAATCCAGAAATAAAAGTCATGTCTTAAGGTCTGCTGTCCCATTGTTTGTTGTAAATGGGAATTTTATCTGTTTTTCCTTTCTTCGTTCACACATTTGTAGGTTATCAATTGTAATCTTACTAAATTAATTATTTGTGTTGTTATTGATTGATATTCAGTCCACATGACACAGACCAATATTACTTTTACTTTTTTGTCTGTTGCATTTGCCAAAAAAAGCAGCATTCTCCTAAATGTGTATTTGATAAGAAACAAACACTTGAACTACTTTTCTGTTCTTTGAAATGTTATCCTGTCAAAGTTGAAACCTGTTCTTTTTTAGCATTACGTAAAAGTCCTATAGAGACCCTAAAGACTATGAATAATAGCAGACTGAGTGGACCCACAGCGCCCCCCATTGAGCCCCCTGCTCCCTGCCCAGCCATATATTTGCCCATGTGGTCACAAAGGAAATCTAAACCACATGTTGGCTGGATGACACAAAGACACACACTCCACTTTTGCAAAAACTTTTGTTGTTGTTAATGGGGCAAAAGAGGACTAAAGAAATGTCTGGGATACCCTAAGTAGGGGGGAAAGGTTACAAACGCCATATACAATGCTCTTATCCACATTTTATACTTGGTAGTCTTGTAGGTCATAAACAGAGCTAATGTACAGGTTAGCATCTGGCCAAAGGGGGTTTAAAAAGGGAGGGGCAGCTGTGGTCCCAGAGCGCCTATAATCTATGAGGTAAAGAAGGTTCTGTCTTTGGTAATGAGCAGGTTGTAATATGTTGGAGGTCGCACAGCCACACACTGGAACTGGAAAAGTGGTTTGTTTTTACACTCAACTCAGGACAGCACCTTTTAATTTTGACACTACTGAACAAAATAGGCAGCAACATATCATATGTGACAGCCAATGTATAAAGCAAGGTAGTGTAAGACAGCACTATTCACAGGAAGTATGTGCGGAATGTGTGATGAGAAATAGTGCTTTGTAAATTCTTACCACGTCCTTTGTGGACTACTTAAGCATAATTATGACTTTGTTACCAAAAACCTCAAGTATAAAATACTTTGGATACCATGAGATAGAAGACAAACCATATTCATACTTAGGAAGGCGAGTGAAGTGTCTTGCTCAAAGGCAGATTGATATTGTCCACTATCAGAGCGACGTTATAACTATAGCTTTCTCAGCAAATATGCTAATCCTAATAGTAAAGTATGCACTCGCTGTCATTTAACAAAACAAAAACAACATTTCCTGCCACGCCTAAGTGATTGTGGGAAAATGATTGAATCTTACAGATGTTTTAATTGTTGGAGTCTAATCAAACGGCACATTTTAAACATTTGAGGAAAACCAACTGCTTAACTAAATCAGGATTTATTGCATTTCAGACCATACTTGTAAAGTTAAAAAGTCTGAACAACCAACGGAGGATTCCATTTTGATATACACTATATTTTGCAGCCCAATCTGTGTCAGAAGTGAAAACGGAGCTGAGACAAAAGGCAAAGCTTACTTAATTTAACTCTACGTGTCACTCTCAGGCCCTCACCTATGAGTATGAGCTTTGAGTAACGACCGAAAGTGAACAATTGGGGATATACAAGGTCACATTCACCTATGAATAAAACTGGCTCTTTGGGCAGGGAAAACGCACCCTGAACTAAACTTAATATTATGCATGTATAGTCTAAGTTACAGTTTTCCAGCAGCAGTTGTTTATATACCATTTTCCCTACACATTTGCTCTATAACCGGGCCCAGCGTAGCCTGCCTTAGTGGCTCGGCACTACTCACTTTGAGACTGTGAAAACCATCCGAGTCGAGCATGGTAGTCACATTTAGGTGGCCTGGGAACACCCCAATCGGACTACAGATTGAAATTAGCCTTAGGCCAAACTCTGGCATTTACATTCATATTTCTAATAGTCTGTTCATTGACATTGACAATCGATTAAGATGCCTCAGGTGTGTGGATAGAGAAGTCTGGGCATCTCTGCTCAGACTGCTGCCTCCACAACTTGGCAACAGATAAAAAGGAAGAAAATGGATGAATAGCTTTTATTGTACATTTCACCAAGATGTAGTTTCATAACAATATAAACATTTACGACAGATCTTGAGTTATGACAGGTGTTTGTTTTTCATTTTATACTTCACTGCAAAACTTGACAATGTACCTTTAATTGTTACTATAAGTATAAATGTACTATGTTTCAGAAGTTTATAAAAGTTGATTCCGACTGACAGCCTGTGGACTTTGTTTTTGCTGAGAGGGAGAGAAAAGGAGAGAAGCGGGAAGAGAGTGGGCACTGTAACGGCCTGCACACTGAGGCTTTATACCACACACTGGCTCCAGACCAGGGCCCTCCAGGACCTCCCCAAAACCCAAACTCGGCCCCCACACGTAGTTCTCATCACTGCCCACCTTGGTGTCTCATAGAGGCTAAAACCTGAAACATTAAATAAACAAGCAGTATTAAAAGAGACCCTCAGCGTTACCGTTGTACTACTAATATATTGAGAAAGTATTTAAGTTCTAGTCTTTGTTTAAATGATAGGATTAAAATGAAATAAGAAAGACTTTATTGAACTCACCCATAACAATAACAAATAATAATAAATACAAATAACAATTGTAAACAAATAACAATTGTAAACCGCTTTGAGACTCCGATGTGCAGTGAAAAGGCGGTATATAAATAAAAGCTTACTAGCTTACTTACCCAGGGCAATTTAATTTTTACCCCTGTTGGCCAGGTTTTGCAGAGTTGACCATTCTTCTACATTGATTTTGAACTTTGTTTTGATCCAATTTGTCCTCATACCCGTGTAAAACATGTTCATTAATGTATAGTATTGCATAATTAGGACCCAAGGACGGCTCCAATAAAGTTAGAAATTTAGAACAGGGTGCTGCTTTGGCATGGATGTAGAAAGATATGACTCAGGTGCTCCTCTATAAAGCCTTGGAACTTATGGAAAACAAGTCAGATGGGCGAAACGCAGACCATGATTTCAATTTGGGAAAAAAGGATTTCTAGATTAAATGAGTTTAAATCATTAATTATGAATGCTCTTGGATAGTTTGGCTTGCTTTCTGGATTTGTCTATCATTGATCTCCAATTTATTCATGGTTTGGAAATGTTGTTGTTATTTTAAGTGGGCTTTTTCTGTTTCTATTGGGTTGGCCTAGTCTTGTGTGTTCTTTTCCCAAAAGTAAGTAAGTAATTAATCTTTATTTATATAGTTCATTTTACCCAAAGCGCTTTACAATTTTTCCGTTCTCTTCACACACGGTGATGACGGAAGCGAGACGCCGAACAAACTTGCGCATCAAAGCCTCCAACCAACACCATCCATTCACTCACTCATTACATGCATACCTATTGTACATGTTTTTAGTGGTAGGGGAAACCGGGGAAACAGCTCTAACTGCTTTGCCTCCGTGTCCCCCAAAAGATTAAACCGTTATAGTATCTCTATGGCAGATGAGTACTCTGGCCTGACCACTTCTCATCTCAATAGGATAAGATAATCGAGATGGACTGAAGCTGGACAAAGCCAAATAATCCATTTCTCAGTGTGCCAGGTTACTCAGAACACAATTCTGATGAATCCCCCTCAGTGTGTGCGGTACTGTGGTCTGGTGTTTGTACAGGTTGCTTTCTTTGCTCATTGCAGGGAATTCAGTGACCCTGCTTTGGTTTCATTATTCATCATATCCAAAAAGGAGGATGTAATGCAGGTCACGTAATTTCTGTATATTTATCACCGAGATGTGTAAATTAGAGCGCAATTAGGGGGTTTGAGTTGGCTGTAAAAATGGTAATTTTGGTAAATACAAACTTGTTTAGAATGTCCCATTGGACAACAATGCCTTAATATTGAAATATT